CGGGTAGAGGCGCGGCCACGGCGAAGTGCCGGCAAGGGCTGTGGCGAGCGCGCCCAAGTGGTCGGCGAGCTCACCGCTGTCCGCCAGCGTCAGGTAGCCGCCCGAGACAAAGGCATTGTCGATGCGGAGCGGAAAGGCCTCGGCTGTGGTACGCGCCACGAGGCTTGTGGCCAGGCACTCGAGCGAGGTGGGCACGTACACGGCGAGGACATCTTCCCATCCGAGCGGAGCGCCAGCAATGCGCCCGGCGAGGTGGGCGAGGGTGGCGGCGGTCTTGACCGCGAGGACAAGCGAGTCGGTGGCGGTGGCGAACGGCGCAAACGACGCCATCTGCAGCTGCTCCAGCATGGCGATGGCCCGGGCATGCGCCTTGCGCGCGGCATGGACACGAGAGCCGAGGCAAGCCACTCTGGCGGCGGCGGCCCCATCGTCATCACTCCCGACACCGGCGGCAACCACGTCCGGATGCGCAAAGTATGCGGCGTGCCCGACAACGTCGCGGAGCTCGCCAAAGTGACTCAGCGGCGTGAGCGCGCGCAGCCCGTCCTTGGCGGTGGCGACGGTGGTGGCCATGGCGGCGCAAAAGGCTTCAAATGGCGAGCGTGCAGCCTTGGCGGCAGCGAGCGCAGCGGCAGCCGAGCTTGGCGATGCTGACGACGCCGTGGCCGAGCGCAGCGGCGACGCCGGCGGCGATGGGCGCGGCGAGCCTGCACCCGACGGCGGCGTCCGAAGCGCAGCCTTGCGCGAGGCCATGGCCAGAGAGGCCAGCGCCGCCGGTGAGCCAGAGCGCATGGCGCTCGTCACGGCCAGCCGCGGCGTGACCGGCGCGGCAGCGGCGAGATCACCCGAGGCCACAAAGGCGGCAAGCGCTGGGGCGTGATCGTCACGGTGTGCGGCGAGCCACGCGGTGAGCCGCGAGGTGAGCTTGCGGAGCGCACGCGCAAGAAGTGCGTCGCGAAAGGCGGCAAGGTGCGGGCGCGGTGCGTCGGGCGGCGGCGGGTGTGAGGTGAGGAGCGACGAGACGACGTCGACGACAGACTTGAGCTCGGCATGCGAGAGGGTGAACAGCTTGGGTCCGCGTGCCAGGCTCTGAACCCGCAGCTCGACGATGCGCAGAAGAACGGCGCGCTTCTCGGCCAGAGCTGCAGCATGGTCGTCGTCGAGAACGAGGGCGTCGAGCTCGTGTGCCAGCGCCAATAACTCGGCCAGTGCGAGCGAGGTCACGTTCTCCGGGAGCGAGACAACAGCTGACGACGGCAGCGAGCCGAGCGTCTCGCCCACAATCAGCGTGGCGCTGGCGTCGGCAATGGCTGTGGCGAGCGACTCGGCGGCGGCGGAAGCGTCGTCGGGCACAACCAGGATGTAACGTGTGGCGTCCGAGTCGTGGAACCGCGAGTCGAGTGGCACTGGCGGGCTTGGCACCGGCTGCTGCTGCTGCGGCAGTGCAGCAGACAGATCCAGAGGTGGGACTTGCGGCGGGAGGCCGGTGGCGGCCGGCGAGAGTGAGGTCTCAGCGACCTCGCCCAGCGACGGCGGCTCGTGCGCACGGGCTTTGGCGTTAGTGTCGGCATCTGCGTCGTCCGTGGCAGCGGACTCGAGCGTCCACGGCGGTGGAGTAAACAGGGCCCGCTTTGCAGCCGCGAGGCTTCTCGGCGCGTCCTCTGGCGGCCTGTCCGCCGGCGGCCCTCTTGACGATGGTCTCGGCGACGGCCTCGGCGACGCCCTAGGCGACGGCCTCGGCGAGCGGAGCTGTGACAGCGCGCAGCCCTGGAGCCAATCCAGCGCGCAGAGGACGTTTGCGAGATCGATGGCAGCCAGTCGCGGGAGCCTCTCTCCGCCGCGCAGCGGTGGCTCTGCTCGCAGGCTCCCCGCCGGCGCGGCGTTGGCCCGAGCGAGTCGCGAGTTGTGCGTGGCGGGCGGGGCGGATGGGGGGTGGCCGCGGTCGGCAACAAATTGTTTGCCATGGTCATGCCCACCCCCCGTCGGTCCACCCGACGCGCCCCCCGCCCCGCCCACCAGTCGGTCGGCGAGGACGGCATGGAGGGCGGCGTGGAGAGCGTCGGCCACGGCACGTCCACCGAGTCCGCGGCCGGACGCCGGCACGGTTGCGGTGAGGGCCGAGAGCAGAGCAGCAGTGTCGGTGGCTGTGAGGACGTGTCGTGGTGGCCGTGCCCGCCCCCGCAAGCGAGAGCCGCGTCCGCCCATGCTGGAGGCTGTGTGTATGTGTGTGGGGGGGGGGGAGGGGGGGGGGGGGGGGGTGTCCTTCGGGGACAATCGTTGGCTTTTGACAGTTGCAGAATAATGGTTGGCCAACGATTGTGAGGGGAATAATCGATGGTCATTGATGGTTGTTGTTGGGCTGTGAGGGGAATAATCGATGGTCATTGATGGTTGTTGGTGGGCTGTGAGGGGAATAATCGATGGTCATTGATGGTTGTTGGTGGGCTGTGAGGGGAATAATCGATGGTCATTGATGGTTGTTGGTGGGCTGTGAGGGGAATAATCGATGGTCATTGATGGTTGTTGTTGGGCTGTGAGGGGAATAATCGATGGTCATTGATGGTTGTTGGTGGGCTGTGAGGGGAATAATCGATGGTCATTGATGGTTGTTGGTGGGCTGTGAGGGGAATAATCGATGGTCATTGATGGTTGTTGGTGGGCTGTGAGGGGAATAATCGATGGTCATTGATGGTTGTTGGTGGGCTGTGAGGGGAATAATCGATGGTCATTGATGGTTGTTGGTGGGCTGTGAGGGGAATAATCGATGGTCATTGATGGTTGTTGGTGGGCTGTGAGGGGAATAATCGATGGTCATTGATGGTTGTTGGTGGGCTGTGAGGGGAATAATCGATGGTCATTGATGGTTGTTGGTGGGCTGTGAGGGGAATAATCGATGGTCATTGATGGTTGTTGGTGGGCTGTGAGGGGAATAATCGATGGTCATTGATGGTTGTTGTTAGTCCCCCTCCCCCCCCCCATGTGCGACCCCTTCCCCCTCCTTCCCTCCCTCCCTCCACCCCCCTCCCCCTCCCCACCACCACTCCTCCCCACCTCCCCACCATGCGCAAGTGCTCGATATGCGGGCGTGACCAGGACTCCTCGGCCTTCTCCAAGTCGCAGTGGAAGAAGGGCACAGCAGCAAAGTGCCGGACGTGCGTGGCCTCTCCCCCGCCTGCCTCCCTCCCAGCTGCCGACCACGAGCCCGTGCCTCCCGCTGCTGCTCCTGCTCCTGCTCCCGCTGCTCCTGCTCCTGCTCCTGCTCCCGCTGCTCCTGCTCCTGCTCCTGCTCCCGCTTCCGCCACTGCTCCCGCTGCTCCTGCTCCTGCTCCTGCTCCTGCTCCCGCTGCTCCCGCTGCTCCCGCTGCTACTCCGATGTCCAGTGCCGGTGAGGACCGAGCTGACGATGGTGCTGATGATGCTGATGCCAAGCCTGCTGAGCCCGAGGTCGAGACTGAGGACGGAGCTGATACCGATGATGACGGAGCTGATGATAGTGCTGATGACGGTGCTGATAATGCTGATGCTGAGCCTGCTGAGCCCGAGGCCCAGTCTGACGTCGATGCTGATGCTGATGCTGAGCCTGCTGAGCCTGCTGAGCATGCTGAGCCCGAGGCCCAGTCTGACGCCGATATTGGTGCTGAGCCTGTTTCCGAGCCCGAGTCCAAGGTTGATACTTATGCTGATGACAGCACTAGTGCCGAGCCTGAGCCCGAGGCGGATACTGGCCTCGCCAAGCCTAACCAGACGGTCGTGTCGTCCACCGCCGACTCCACTCCTGTTGTCTCCACCTCGGGCTCTGCCGAACCCGAGGCTGAGCCCGAGTCGACCGAGTCGGCTGAGAACTCTTCTACTGGCGACGATGCCGCTGGCGTCGCCCCGCACCCTCGCCGCCGCAAGCGCCACGTCCGTGTCCGCAAGAAGCGCAAGGCTAAGGGCAAGTCCGCTGCTGCTCCTGCATCCGAACTCGAGCCCACTCCCACCCCCAAGACCAAGAGCAAGAGCAAGACCAAGGTCAGGGCCAAGGGCAAGGTCAAGGCCAAGACCAAGAGCAAGACCAAGGTGAAAACCAAGACCAAGACCAAGACCAAGACCAAGACCAAGACCAAGAGCCGCCCGCCTGCGCCCGCATCCGCGCCCAACAAAGGCAAGGACGAGGACTCGCAGAGCTCTGCCGATGAGGTCGTCGCTGCACCGCCGCCGCCGCCGCGCTCGGTCTCGGCCGCTGCGCAGTCGCCAGACGGCGACAGCGTGCCTGTTGTTCCGGGCGTCGCGCCCGAGCTGGTGCTCAAGTACATGCAGACGCCGCTGGATCTCACCCGCGAGGAGCACGTGGCCACATTCCCGCAGTCGTGGGCCGCTGCTGCATCGGCTGTCGGTGGTGGCAAGCTCCCGCGCTATGCACTCCTCCCACACACGTATACCTCGTTCTGGCGGCCGGCGCCGCCGGCGCCGCCGACGGCTACAGCGCAGGAAAAGGCGCGCGTCTTTGCGCTGCGTCCGACCAAGGGCGCAGCCACCCCGAAGGCGGCCAACACTCTCCGCCTCGCCACCTACAACGTGCTTGCGTCCGACTACGGTGGCGCCGTCCGCGTCGGTGCCGTTTGTGACGTCCTCTGTGACATGGTCGACGCCACCGACGTCGTTGCCCTCCAGGGCGTGACCAAGGCCATGCTCGCCGGCCTCCTCGCCCGCCCACGGCTGCAGGACGCGTACTTTGTGTCGGACATCGACGGCTCGACCGTCGTCGGTACGCCCGGCGGCGGACTTGTTCTCTTCTCCAAGTACCCGCTGCAGAAGATGGTCCTCCACACTCTGCCCGCCAACGGCCGCCTCCTCCTCGCCACGCTTGTCCTCAACTCGCGCAAGTTTGCCGTCGCCAACCTCCATCTCCCGTCGTCTGTCGCCGCCGAAGTCGATGCTGGCCTCTACGCCGCCTTTACCAAGCTCATCCCCTTCCACGACGCCCTCGTTGCCGCAGCCTTTTCCCCCGCCGCCGACCCGGCCGCCCTTCCGTTCACCTACGGTGACGTGTGGAAGCTGCTGGCAACCGACGACCCGGGCTTCACCTACAACCCGGCGTCCAACGCCATGGCCGCCCATCTTGCTTCCGAGGACGCATCGTCACCACCGCCCGCTTCCCGTCCAGACAGGCTGCTCTTCCGCTCCGCTGGCGGCCTGTGGACGCCGGTCGCCGGAGGCCTCGTCGGCACCGTCCCCGTCCCCGAGTACGCCCATCTCCTGCCCTCGACCCACTACGCGCTCCACGCCACTTTTGCCACCACCGACCCGGCCGTCGACGACCTCGTCGCCAAGGCCCGCAAAAAGGCCAACGCCGGCGGATGCTCGGTGATGTGAAGTAAAGCTCTCTAGCTAGCTAGCTTGTGTTACCGAAAGTCGGCGTCGTCGGCGTTGCGGGCGACGATGGCCGCGGGCGGCGGAGGCGGGAGCGGCGGCGGAGCGAGCTCGGGCTCGGCCACCACCGTCCACTCGGGCCGGACGTGCGAGGCGGCGCCCCAAAGGTAGAGGCACTGCGGGAGGCCGCGCTTACTCGGCTCGCGCGCGTCCGGCAGTAGCGTCGTTATCATCTCCTGCAGATCCGTCGGCCGATCGGCCTTGCCGGCAAAGTCAAAGATGACGTCGCACGACCGCTGGTGCCGGAGGTTGAGCTTCTCCTGCGGCGCGCGACGAAAGACGAGGCACGTGTCGTGCGCCGCCCGCAAAAGGCCACTGCTGCTGCCGGTGATGCGGTGGCCCCGGTCGGAGAGGACCACGGCCACGTTCTCCACGTACTTGGCCGCCCACTGCGTCTCCACAAGAAAGAGGACTTGAGGGAGCAGCGCCTTGGGCACCCACACGCAGAGCATGCCCTTGGGAAAGAGCTTGGCCGTCAGGCCGAGCCGCTCCACCACCCGCCGTGGCGTCAGCCCATCGCGGCCCCACGGCGGATCCATGATCACCGCCGAGTAGCTCGCGCCGTCGGCTTCGAGCGCCGCGAGCGTTCGCGCGCCAAAGTACAGCGGCGCGCCGACGGCGCCGCCTGGCGCCACCATCGGCCGCACCTGCCGCGCAAACTTGGCCACCACGCGCTCGACCTTGACATCGCCCGCCCGCCCGCGCGAGCTCGAGCTAGCGCTCGACCGCGACTTGCTCCTGTTGCTCTTCTTCCATCCGCCGACCTGCGATCGCAGCTGCTCGCGCCGCCGCCCGCCGCTGCTTCCGGTGCCCCACCTCGCACCGCCTTTCTCGCTCGCCGCCAGCGCCTCCCACAGGCTCCGCCGGAACTCGAGCGAGTCGGCGACAGCTTGGACTGGATCGCGGTTCCGACGCTGGACCATGGTCCGCTGAACCGCGGCCTCAGCTTCGGCTGCTACCTCGGCCGCCGTCATCGTCGCCGGAATGAGCGCGCCCACCAAGCCAAAGTTGCGGACGCCGGTCGCTCCGCCCTCGAGCTTCCTCGCCCGCTTGGCCGGTCGCGCTGCGGTCTCGGTTCCGTCCTCGCCGTCCTCGTCGGGCACGTAGTACGTCACAAGGTCCTCTAACGTCCGCTTGAGCGTCGCGCCGTGCTTGCGAAGCGAGGGCAGCGAGGTCGACGCCGCGGCTATTGCTGCCGCCGCTCCCATCGCGCCCTTGCGCGAGCTCGACCCGCTGCTCCGCTGCTTGGTCGCCTGGCCAAAGGTGCTCGAGAGCTGGCAGAGCTCAGTGATGAAGCCGTCGACCTTGGCCTCGAGCGCCAGGCCCTCGGGCGTGTTCCACACCGGCGCGAGCTCGAACCAGTCCGGCTCGGCCTGCTGCGCACAAAACGCAGAGCTGGTGGCAATCTCGCGCGAGAGGTGAACCAGCTTGCCGTCGTCGGTCATCACGTACTCGTCAGTCTTGATCTTGCCGGCCTTGACCAGCCGCCGGTAGTGGTTGGCGCACTGGTAGCCAACTCGCCGCGGCAGGACTTTGGAGAAGATGCCCCACAGCGAGCCGATGCGCAAGCCGCGCTCCTTAAACTCGGCCATCCGTGCAGCAAACGCAGCCTCCTCGGCCGTGCTCCACTTGCCGTTCACCTGCGTCTCGTCGATGTCCGTCAGCCGGTAGTAGAACGCGTCCGGGCACTCGCGCCGTCGCCGCCATGCCCGCACCCGTGCCACGCTCCACTTGGCCACGTTAGTCTTCTGATACACCGCCCCGAGCCCAACCACGTCGTTCTTGCTCCCGTCGGCCACCTCCATCGTCACTCGCGTCGACTCTGCCACCACCCGGGACTTTGACTTGCCCTTGCCCTTGCCGTTGACCTTCTTGCTCGTGCCCTTGCCCTTGCCGTTGACCTTCTTGCTCGTGACCTTGCTCTTGCCGTTGACCTTGTTACCCGTGTCATTGCCCTTGCCCTTGGGCGAGCCAGCCCGACCCAGCTCGGGCGTTGCCGCCGCTGCCGCCGCATCCCGCACCGCCGTCCAGCTCTTCTCCTCATCCCGGCTCTTCTCAGCCTTTTCCTCCTCTGCATCAAGCATATCCCATGCCGAGTTGTCTACCTGGAGCGCTGCTGTCGTTGCAGAGGCGTTGGTGGTCACCGACGCCTTGGCCGATGCTCGCGACTTGGCCGATCTCCGAGACTTGCTCGACGTGCTCGACATGCTCGACGTGCTCGACGTGCTTGACGTGCTCGACGTGGTCGACGCGCCCAACTTGCTCGACGCGCCCGCCGACCTTTCGGCCGCAGCCAGCCACCCGGTGATGGTGCCAGAGCCGGCCGAGGCCGATCGAGTCGCTGCGGCCCGTGTCGATGCCGGGCGCTGGCGAGCGGTAGATTCCACGACCTTTTTCGCCTCTGGCCCGAGCCGGGGCGTCTCCGGCTCTGCGGCCCAGAGGGCGACTGCGGGCGGTGCTGCCGAGCCCATGCGCGTCGGAGACGTTTCACCATAGCCTCCGTCCCCATGCGTGCTTGCCCGGTGCTGCGGTGTGACATGCGTCCGTACCGCCGTCTCGGACGCTCCCACTCCGCCGTCGCCTAGGCTCCGGCCGGCCAACCAACTGCGACCTTTTGCTCCGCTCCCGCCACTGCTCGCCACCTGCCCAACCTCTCCCACGCTCCCTGCGAGCGTCCGCCGCAGGTTGCGTGACGCCAACCGCAGTCGCATCGCTCTCACGGCTCTTGTCGTCGAGTGTGCTCGTCTGCTGCCGAGACGGGGCCTCACCTGGCCGCTGTTCCTCACCGCCTCGCCTGTGATCGTGGCCATGATCGTCAACGTGATCGCGATTGCGATCGCGATCATGATCACCTTCGCCTTCTCCTCGTCGCCCTGGCCAGCGCCATGCGTCGGCTGCTGCGGCACGATGGATGCGACACCAACGGCGTTATGCCCTGTATTATGAGTCACATCATGGTATCAGCCTCACCCATCTTCTGCTCGACGTCCATGTCGTCGTCCATGTTGTCGCCTACTCGGCTGATGATGCCCCTCGAGAGACTCGACGCGGTGCGCCGGTGCGTCGTTGCCAATGCAATCAAGCACATCTTCAGCGGCGGCCCTCTCGGGGCGAGGCAGTGCTGCCGAACCGAATTTCCCCACTCGGCGCCTTCCACAATCATCGCTCGCACCATCTCGGCAGACTTCTCCTGTTCTGTTGCCGTCCCATCGACGTACGCCGTCCACAATCATCGCTCGCACCATCTCGGCAGACTTCTCCTGTTCTGTTGCCGTCCCATCGACGTACGCCGCGATCAGGACGGAAGAGTGTGATCTTCTTCATCCCCGTCTCCGTTCGCTTTACGCTCAACCGGTGTGAGCGGTAGCAGGACGGAAGAGTGTGATCTTCTTCATCCCCGTCTCCGTTCGCTTTACGCTCAACCGGTGTGCTTACGCAGACCGAGTCTGAAGCAGACCACCAGACCATGGCGCATGATCCTCCAGCGCGACTTGCTCTTATCAGAGTGGCGTTCAATCGAGCTACCCATGCAGGACCGTGACTCCGACCGTGCAGAGCGCAGACGATCGAGGTTCTCACGACAAACTTGGAGCTGGTTTCGTCGAACGCGCCTTTGGCCAGGACCTCCCCCCTCTCCTCCCCTCCCGACTACACACATCTGGCCTGTATGCATATTTTCGCCCACCCCACTCGTAGTAAATAATACCACAACGTTCAGCCAAGCACGTGACCCCCTTTCTGTCTCCACCACCACGGCACTTCGTCAGCACGCGTTCGCCACACGCTACAGAGCACACGTTTGTATTCCTCTCTCTCCCTCTCTCTCTCTCTCTCCCCCCCCCCCCCCATACCCCCTCCCTCGCACCACATAGCATATTGCACAGCTGTACACACCATCTTCTTTCCTTTATCTCTCTCGCCAGAGTAGGCATGGTCGCGACCCGAGACGGCGGCAGGTCAGCTCGGCTGGCTGGTGGCCTTTTCGCCGCACTGGTTGTCGCTGCGGTGCTTTTTCCGTCATTGGCCTTTGGCAGATGCTGGAGCTCGCCGTACATTTCCGATTTGGCCCAGGATGAGAGCGAGTCATCGCAGACTACGATCAAGGTCACATGGGAGCCAACGACGAAAGGTGGCGCATGTGGTGCACGGACGGCTGTTAAGCACTGGCGCATTATGCCTGACGCCAGTTGGGAGACTCTCTCCAACGACAACGGTCTCTCGTCAGCTCTGGACGAGTATTCAAAGTCCTCGCTCCTGCCGGGAACAGAGTACAAAGTTCGTGTGAGGGCGTACCAGTTTCTTTTCATTCATGACAAGTACATCGACACTCGGACGGCGTGCCCGCTTGGCACAGCGTGGAACAATCCCTTATGTACACTCTGTCAGGTCGGCTACTACCGTGACGATCCCACCTTTGGAGCGGCGTGCACCCAGTGCCCGCTTGCTGTCTCAGGCGTGACGACTGTAGATGCGGGTTCCACAAGTGTCACCGAGTGTGTTTGCCCACCGGGCAAGGGGCGGAGTAGCCCTAACGATGATTGCGTGCCGTGCGGCGTGGGCAAGTTCAAGAGCGGGTACGGCAACTCCGAGTGTATTGGGTGCTCTGTGCCGTTCACCACGACAGTCGGTGGGGCCGACACTGAGGATGACTGTGTGTGCGACGCCGGGCACTACCGCGACGGAGCTGGGCAGTGCCCGGCGTGTCCACTTGGCACGTATAAGCCAACTGCAGCCAATGCAATCGCATGCAACTCGTGCAAGTCGACCGAGACCACGGCGGCCATGGGTGCGCTTACCGAGTCCGAGTGTGTGTGTAGGCCCGGGTTTGAGCGTGTTGCTGGTGTGTGCGAGCCGTGTGGCAAGGGTACGTACAAGGACACTGCCGGCGACGGAGCGTGCTCGCTCTGTCCGGGCGGCACGTCCTCGAACACCGTCGGCGGTGCAGACGTGGCATCATGCGACACGTGTAAGCCTGGCTTCTTTGGCGACGACTGCAGCGGCGTCTGCTCCTGCTCGGTCGATCAGGTGTGCCTAGATGGGCGGTTTGGGTCTGGTAACTGCACTTGCTTTGTTGGCTCGGGGCTGTCAGGCGCTGGATGCGATCAATGCGAGGCTCCGCAGTACTTTGGACGGCCTTGGTGCAACTCCACGGTCGAGTGCGTCAACGGCGTGCCCGACTATGGATTTGACGGCAGTGGCAAGTGCCGCTCGTGCCAACTTGCAGCGTACGACTTTGCCGCCGACCCGACGTGCGCCACGTGCGCGGCGCTCAACTTTGGCGTCAGCTGTTTGCAGTGTCCCATTGGGCACCACGGCTCTGGTGACAACACCGATGGCCCTTGCGAGCTGTGCAGTGCAGGCACGTTCAAGGATGTCACAACAGCCCTGCAGCGATGCAAGCCGTGCGACGCGGGAACGGTGTCACCGAGCCCAGGCGCGGCATCCTGCCAGCGGTGCGAGCTGTCGACTTACCAAAGCGATCCAGGCGCGGTAAGCTGTCTGCCATGTGGCCGCGGACGAGTGACCGCAAGCGATGGGGCGACGACGGTTGCGGCATGCACCCCGTGCCCTCCAAACTCGTACAAGGTAGAGGAAGGGTTTGGCACGTGCGTGGCGTGTCCGGGCAACCAGACGACCAACGGGGAGGTGGGCACGATCGAGGTCGAGGGCTGCGGGTGCGAGCCCGGCTTTGGACTGGTGGGTGATGTGTGTGTGGCTTGCGAGCCCGGCGATGTGGCGCTGTCGTTTGATCGGGAGGCATGCACGCCGTGCCCAGTGGGAACGACATGGGCGTCTGCGGCTGGCGGGTGCGTGTCATGTCCGTTTGGCGGATATTGCGCGGGGCAGACGGCCAAGCCGATCCCCAACTCGGGCTTCTACCCGCTGCCTGGCCAGGGCGTGACGTCGGGACTGTACGAGCCGTGCACCCCGGCGGGCGTCTGCCTTCGTGGCGGAGTCTGTCGGTTCGGTCACATTGGCGAGCGGTGCTCGCAGTGCATCAAAGGATGGGCCAAGAACCCTAGCTCGGGCCTGTGCGAAAAGTGCCCGTCGTCGATCCCGTTCATCTTTATGGGCCTCGCGGTTCTCGGCATCATCCTCTGTATCCTGCTCATCAAGCTCGCACGCAAGAATACGGCGTTCTTCACGGCCGCTTCGGTCGGGTTCAACTTTCTGCAGCTCATTGCGGTCCTCGCCTCGTTCCAGATCAAGTGGCCGGGGTGGACACAGCGGTTCTTTGAGATCCTGTCTGCGGCCAACATCGACCTGCAGCTGTTCAAGCCCGAGTGTCTTGTTTCGAGCTCGTCGGACGCGTACTTTACGATCTGGGCCACCAAGCTTGCAGCCCCTTGGGCGCTGCTCGTGATGTTTGCGGTCGGCTTCAGCATTTTCCGGCTCTACGCCGCTGCGCGCAAGTGGACGGCACCGGCCAAGGCGTCGATGAAGTATGCGTTCACCAACGCATCGGTCATGGCCATGTTTGTCATGTACCTGCTAGTGACCAACACGGCGCTGGAAATCTACCCGTGCACCAAGCAGGCCGACGGCAAGTACACGATGAACCGCGAGCCGTCGATCCGGTGCTACCAGGGCAAGTGGTTCGAGCTTCTGGTGGGCTCGATTTGTGCCATGATCATGTTTTCGCTCCTCATGCCGCTCGGCGTACTCAAGGTGCTCCACAAGCGGCGGTTCAACCTGTGGAAGCGGAAGAACCTTGCGCGATACGGCCTGCTGTACCTGCGATACCGGCCCAAGTACTACTTTTTCGAGATCCTCGTCCTTGTCCGCAAGTTTGGCGTGGTGTTTGGCAAGGTGGCGTCGTCTGCGAGCGTGGTGGGCCAGGTGCTCACAGCGCTGGCAGTGGTGTGCCTCTCGCTCGGACTGCAGCTCAAGACGCATCCGTTTGCAACGATGCGGATCAACCGGCTGGAGACGCTCATGCTCTCGTGCGCAGGCTTTGTGCTCGCGCTGGCGTTTGTGTACGCGGCCGCTGACGGCGGGCTCAATGCGTCGTTTGCCAACACGCTCGGAGTGGTGCTTGTGGGCGTGGTGTGCGTGGCGATTGTGATTCTTCTGGTGGCGATTGTTCTGGAAATCACGAAAATCCACCGAATGCTGCGGCGGGGGCTTGTGGGCAAGTATGTGGTGGACCGGCTCGATGTGTGGCGCCCGTTCTACACGAGCGGCATGTTCCTGTTGGAGCACACCCAGACGACGGTGGGCGAGGCGGCGGCAAACATTGTGATGACGTTCTCGACGACCGAGCCTGTCGAGCTGGTGGCGGAGATGTTCCTGGAAACAGTCATCACGCACCGGAGCGAGAAGCGGACGACGGACGATGTGGTGCTCCACGGCTGCCTTCAGCCGTCGGACCAGGCTGTCGAGTCACGGAGCGACTTTCTGCAGCACACCGTCACCATGCACGCGCCGGCGCCCGGTCACTACGTGGCGACGATCGCGGTGATGGCGGCCGGCAGGACGGCGACCACGCCGCGCGAGCCAGCAACGGGGATGCGCGGGTGGCTGGAGAAGCTCGCGGCCTTTGTCGACGGCTCGGTGACCGACCAGGCGCACTCGCCCCAGATGGTCCGCGCCATGATGGTCAACGGAGCCGAGCGGGCCATCCGATTCCGCGTCACAGCCTCGCCCGAGTGGGCTGCTGAGGACGCCATGGCTGGCACTGCCGCCGCGGCCTCGGAGTTTGCAACCGATGTCGACGAGGATGCGCTCCTCTCGCGGCCGTGGAGCATGTCGCCCGAGGAAATGGACGCTCTGGACGAGGAACACGAGCTTCAGGCACTGTAAGCTCCCGATACGAACACACACAAGCCATGACGCGGTGTAGTGCTGGCATGCGGCAAGAAGCAGTGATGGCTCGTGGTGTGTCGGGTGAGATGCGCATGCGTATGCGGACGACCGAGTTCAATACATGATGTGGATTTCACGGAAGCTTGTAGCCCGAGGCCTTGGGCGACTTGAAGAGCGAGGCAGCGGCGTAGGCAGCCACGGCGCCGATGAGGGCTGCAAAAACAAGCGAGGCGAGCGAGTAACCGTCGGCAGCGGGGCCGGCAGCAGGGCCGGCGTGTTGGATGGCGGTGAGAGTGGTGGTGATGGTGGAGAGCTTGGAGTCGAGGGCGGCAATGCGGTCGAGGGCGAGGCGCGACTCGGACTCGACGCGCTCAAAGTGGCGGACAATCTCATCAGCCTGGTGGGCATGGACGAGCTCAGTGACTGAGTCGGAGAGCGTGTTGAGGACGCCGCGGATGGAGGCGGAAGACGCATCAGCGCCGCTGCCGCTTGCTGAGCCGGCCGGGGCCGAGGCGAGGCGGGCGGCGATGTCGGAGAGCTTGCCGTCGAGGACGGCGATGGCTGCTGCGGTGTCTGCGGCGGCAGCGGCCGAGTCGCGGGCGGCAAAGGCGCGCTTGTGTGCGTCGCGGGCGACGGCCTCTGCAGCGGCATGGTGAGCAGAGGCGGCGGCGGGCGGAATGTCCTCGGTGACGAGCGGGTGCTCGTCGATTTCGCCGCGGACGGCAGCTTCGACCTTTGCCTGCAGGCCCGGGAAGCGCGAGTCGCGAGTGGCGTCTGCGGGCGGATGGGTGAGACCGTGCTCGAGGTCGTAGACCTCAAAGGCGAGGAGATTGGTGCGGGCAAAGGCCGAGTGCGAGGAGGCGGCGGTGAGGGCGAGGTGGCGGGCGCCGTCGAGGTTTGCGTCAAACGAGGCGCAGGGCGCAAAGGCCGAGTTGGGCTGGCCGACGTCCGAGATGGAGATGTCGACACGCTTGGCCTTCGAGGTGTACTTGATGTGGACGAGGACCTTTGCGGTGCCCGGGGCGGAGGCCGGGACCGGCTGGTGCGAGACGAGGCGGACCGGGCAGTGGCCGTGCGAGGTTCGGCGGCCGTCGGACCACGGGTCAAACTCACCGAGGTTGCGGGAGGAGCCCCAGAGCGACGATGGCGAGAGCATGGAGGTAATGACGGCGGCTGCGCCGTCGCCGTCGGTGTCAAAGACGTCAAAGAAGACGCCAAGGCCGTCCCAGACGCGCGGCGCGCCGTACACGGTACCGCCAGCAGAGGGCGGAGCCTGGGCCGGCAGCGGCGACCGGGTGAGCCAGAGGGCGGTGCCCTCGTAGCCCTCTGACCGCTGCGCCTCATGGTCCTTGGTCACCGTCATCTCAAGTGCCATCTCGAACGACTCCCACATGAGAGCGTTCTGTGCGGTGATGCGCGTCGACTGCGATGGTCCCGAGATCAGCTCCACGGCGTCTGATGTGACTCGTGCGCTGCCTGTTGCCGACCAGCCTTGTGGCACTGTGCCCAAATGCGTGCGTGCGTGCGTGCGTGCGTGAGTGTGAGTGTGTGTGAATGTGTTTGCGCGCGAGTGAGAGAGAGGGAGAGGGACTTGAGATTTTTCTCCAGCACCCAGCACCCGCGCACCCGGCGCAAAAAAAATTTCTCCGCACACCACGTGCATTCCCCCCCCCCCCCCCCAACCCGCCACAGGGCGAAAAACCAGTGAGCAATGAGCAGCGCTGTGGGCACTGGCTGCCCGGCGATGGGAGGGGGGGGGGGGATGGGGGAGGGTGTGGAGGGAGGTGCAGGGGGCAGGGGCAGGGGGGTACGTACGGCTGCCGCCGTAGAACGGGGCGTGGAAGCCAAAGAAGGAGGCGGCTGCGGAGGCGGTTGGTGCGAAGACAGCGGTAGCGACGAGTGCTGCCAGGAGCATTGCGACCGCAGACGGGGGCACGCGCATGGGTCTGGGTATAGGTATGGGTATGGGTATGGGTGTGGGTATGGGTGTGGGGAGGGGGAAGGGGAGGGGAAGAGGTGTGGTAGTTGTTGGTATTTGAACGAGTAATAATCGATGGGTGGGCAGGGGATGATCAGTTGAACGAGTAATAATCGGGGATGATCAGTTGAACGAGTAGTAATCGATGGGTGGGCAGGGGATGATCAGTTGAACGAGTAATAATCGGGGATGATCAGTTGAACGAGTAGTAATCGATGGGTGGGCAGGGGATGATCAAGTGAACGAGTAATAATCGGAGATGATCAAGTGAACAAGTAATAATCGATGGGTGAGGGTGCCTGCCAGGTGACGACTCCCTCAACTAGTGGCAATCGATGGGTATGCCCCCCCCCCCCCCCCCCCGCCCCATACCCCACACCTGTCTCCCATGCCGCCCACCACCCCCCTGCTCCCCCCCTCCCCGCCCACCACCACTCCATCCCGCCTGCGCCTCCCGCTACTCCCGGCCCTCGCCACCACCCTCGACACCACCCACACCGGCCGCCTGGCCGTGTGCGCCAGCACCAGTGCCGCCCTGCTCGCCTCGGCCGTCTTTGTGGCCGACACGTACTACGATGATGAGTGGGCGATGTCTCGGCAGACTGCGGATCACAGTCACGGGCCACGCCCACATGCACTACACGTGCTCCTCATCGCCTCCCTCGTCTACTTTGCCCTCTCCCTCCTCCTTGCCCTCGTCACCGCCCCCTCGCTCCTCGCCCTCCTCCTCGACCCGCTCGTCTCCATCGATGCCGCCCTCCTCGTCGCTGGCGGTATCTCCGGCGGACGATTCCGCACAGACGCCACGGCTATGATCTACCCCTTTGTCCTCGTCCGGGCGTACGTCTGCTGTGCCCGGATCGTGTCCTCGCGGATGGTCCTGGCGTCACGGCACGTGGCCCGGCAGAGCGTCGAGCTCTATCTCTTGCTCGTGGGGCTCACAGCCGCCACCGCCGGCTTCATCCAGGTATTTGAGTCCAAGTACGACGGGAGGGAGATGGCGTACCACGACGCCCTGTTCTTCACCGTCGTCACGGCCTCCACCGTCGGCTACGGCGACATTGTCCCCAGCTCGGTCGGCGGCCGCATGCTCATCATGGTTCTCATCGTCGTCTTTATCGTCGTCGTCCCCTGGGAGATCGGGAGGCTCATCGAGCTCATTTCCTCCTCCCCGCCCTCACTCGACCCGCTCGTCGCCGCCCCGGCCGTCCGTGCCGTCCTGCTGGGCGCGCCCTCGCACGACGCCATGGCTGACTTTCTCGACGAGTTCTACCACGCTGACCACGGGACCTCGCTCGCGACGCAGCTCGTGGTCCTCTCCGACCTCCGCCTCTCGCTTCCTCTCCGCCATCTCCTCTCTGATCCCTTCTACCGCAAGCGCGTCGTCTTCCGCACCCTCCGCGGGCCGCGTGACGACGCCTGGGCCCGCCTCGCCACTCCGGCCACCACCACTGTCTTTCTCCACCCGTCGTCGTCCGCCCCGCTCGCCTCGCCTGCTGACCTCGATGCGCTCACTGCGCTCCGCGCCATGGCCTCACGTCGCCACTCGGCCACCGTCCGCATCATTGCCACCGCCGCAGATGCCGCCTCGGTCCCGCTCCTCCACGCCGCCGGTGTCGACCTCGCCCTCCCGGCCGCCCATCTTGCCTGGTCGCTCTACGGGCTCTCCGTCCTCGTCCCGGGCGTCTTTACCCTCTTCCGCAACCTGACCCGATCCTACGCCCGCGCGTCAGCCTCGGCGCTGCCCTCCTGGCGCGCCGCATACCTTGACGGCGCCGCCAATGAGCTCTACGCCGTCGACCTCACGCCGCACTTTGTGGGAACCTCGTTTGTTGCTGCTGCCGCCGCCATCTACGCCCGCTTTGGCGCCGTTCTCATCGGTGTCCACACAGACAACGCCGCCGCCCTCGACGCCGGCGTCGGCCTCGTCCTCCGCCCTCAGCACCGCGGCGTCGTCATCGCCCACTCGGCGGCCACCGCCCACGCCGTCTCGCTCCTCGCGGCCTCGGCGCCGCCCGTCTGGACCGATGATCAGCCGCTCAGCCCGCACTCTTCGTCCGACTCATCGCTCGCCTCGTCCGAGCTACGCTCGCTCACCATCAACGCCCACCCATCACCCGCACCCGACGCCGTCGTGACTCCGCCGTCGTCGCCGCGGGTCGCCATCTATACCGATGGAGGCGCCTCGCTTGGCCCGGTCCTGGCCCCGCTTATCGGCCGTACTACCGTTGAACTGCGGGTCCCTACGCCCAAGTGCATCGACGCCGCCGCTGCGGTAGCCGCGCGCGTCGGCGCAGCTGGCGACGTTGTTGTCGTTGTTGCACCGTCCTCGGATCTCCTTTGTCCACACAGCAGCGAAGACGAGGAGAACGCACGATCTTTGCTGCAGCCGGACGTGGTTCTTGTTCTCGCCGGCGACGGGCGTGCAGGCGCGCAAGAGGTGGCCGAAGAGGCGGCGTACACCGTCGACGCGCCCGGCATCTTGGCGATGCTCGCGGCGCGGTCGGCGTACCGGGCGCAGACGCGTGTGGTGGTCGAGCTTGTTGAGCCGTGCAACATCGCGTTCCTCCCGCCATACTCGCCCTCACCCCACGCCCACCGGTCGCCGGCCTTTGCCAGCGGCGACGTGGTCTGCGGGCGGATGCTCGACTCGCTCCTCTGCTACGCGCACTTTTTCCCGGCCATCGCCGGCGTGGCCAAGACCTTTACCGACTGCGCCAGTGCCTTTGACGCTATCGCACTCCCGCCTCACGCCGTTGGCGCCTCGTGGGGCAGCGTGTGGCGGCAGCTACTCGATGGCGCCGCCGCCGTGGCACTGGCGCTGTGGCGCGAGCGCGCACCTGGTCGCGGGGCGCCCAGCGAGCGGTTTGTCTACACCAACCCGGACGAAGGTACAGTGATGCTCGCCAGCGACTGGATCCTGATCCGCCGGCTACGGCCTGCTACAGCTGGCACGGGGTGAGCGTCGGCGTGAAACGGGCCGGTGGCGGCTCAGGTCCGCGCGCCGGCGGCAACGACCGTGTTGAGCTGTGACGCCGGCGCTGCGCGGAGCTGGGCAAAGGTGCCGGCCTCGACGATGCGTCCGCTGTCAAGGACGACGCAGTGCATGTCCGGGGCGATGGAGGCGAGGCGGTGGGTGATCATGAGGGTGGTGCGGCCCTCCATGAGAGCCTCGAGCGCCCGCTGGACCACGCCCTCGGAGCCTGGGTCGAGCGCCGAGGTCGCCTCGTCCAGGATGAGCAGTGACGGGTTGGTGAGGACGGTGCGGGCGATGGCGATGCGCTGGCGCTGGCCGCCCGAGAGCGTCACCCCGCGCTCGCCCACAAGCGTGTCGTAGCCGTCGGGGAAGGCGGTGATAAAGTCGTGGGCATGCGCCTGGTCGCACGCCCGCTCGATGTCGGCCTGGCTCGCGCCGGGCGCGGCGTACGCCACGTTGTCGCGGATCGAGCCAGAGAAGAGGACAGCCTCCTGCGGGACGACGCCCACAACCTGAGAGCGGAGCGTCCGGAGATCCCACAGAGCCACATCTTTGTCGTTGACAACGACCCGTCCGCTGGTCGGCGGGTACAGGCCGGTCGCCAGGGCCACGATCGACGACTTGCCCGAGCCCGACGGACCAACTAGCGCGGTCCGCGTTCCAGGCTCGAGCCGGAACGAGAGCTCGTCAAAGATGCGCGTCTCGGGCCGGCTGGGATAGGCAAAGCCGACGCGGTCAAAGTGCAGGTCAGCTGGGAGTGGAGCCGGCGCCCGAGGAGAGGCGATGACGGCCGGGGCAGACGGGGCCGGGATGGGGTGGTGATCTGCGGCGGGAGGGGCGGCGTCGAGAAGAGCAAAGACGCGAGCAGACGCGCCGACGCCCTTCATGACCTCGCCGTAAACACGGAAGACGCCGCCGACCGAGACGCCGACGTAAATGGTGTACATGAGGAACGAGGTGAGATCGCCGAGGGTCATGGCGGCGGCGGCGACCTGCGATGCACCGACGCCAAGGACGCCGAGGACGGTGACGTTGCCAGCAAGGCCGATGCCCGAGTAGAACAGCGCCGATGCCTTGCCCTGGGCCACAGCGAGGTCGTAGATGCGGGCGACGGCCGAAGCGTACGAGACCGACTCGGTCTCCTCCTGGGCAAAGAGCTTGACGGTGCGGACGTTGGAGAGGCGCTCCTCGGCGAGCGCCGAGGTGGCGGCGAGCTCGTCCTGCACCCCGCGCTGTAGATCGCGGACGTGGCGGCCAAAGAAGACGGCGCCGGCGGCGATGGGCGGGACAAAGCCGAGGGTGGTGAGGGCGAGGACCGGCGAGAGGTAGAACATCATAGCGACGCCGCCGATGCCTTGCAGAACATTGCGGACGGCGGATGGCACGTTGTCCACCAGAATGGAGCCCATCAGCGCCGTGTCGGCAGAGAGGCGGGTGACCAGCTCGCCGGAGCGGGCGGTGTCAAAGAAGGCGGCGTTCTTGCGGACAAGCGACCCAAAGAGCGAGCTTCGCAGATCGGCGATGACCGACTGGCCAGCGGCAACAAGGAGGCGGATGCGGGCGTAGTTGGCGGCAGCGCCGGCAGAGAAGACGGTCAGCCCAGCAGCGGCGAGCATGACCATGGTCTCGGGATCGGCCACCAGAGCCGTCAGCGAGTCGAGCGACTTGCCGACCGCCGCCGGCACCACCAGATTGACACCCGACGAGACGGCGAGGCAAGCCAGCGCCACCGCGATCTTGCTCGTCTGCGGGCGGGCGAGGTCAAGGAGGGCAGCAATGGCCTTGCGATCTGGCGATGGCGACGAGGAAGACGCCATCTTTGGCGAGGAAGAGGAAGAGGAGGACGACGACGATGATGTGGGCGACGATGACGAGCTCGACATCATCTTTGACGAGGACCACAGAGCAGGGGAATGCGGCGATGTGAGCGAAAACCGAGGCGAATATACCGAAGAGTGCCACAAACGAGATTGCGCAGCGGGGAGACCAGCCGGCGAGACAGTGGCCATTGCGCGGCCTTTTTGTAGCGACGGCAACTTGCCCAACTCTGCTGCTGCTCTGCTGGGTCGGCCAGGGCGAGCCGAGCTCATGGCCATCATGACCACAGACGGAGGCCATACGCGGAGTAGGGGGAAGAGACCATGACGAGGAGGCCCACAGGAGATACGGGTGGCGAGGCGGAGCATGGTGGGTGGAGGGGGTGGAGGGGGTGGAGGGGATGGGTGGGGTGGGGTGAGTGGGCGTGGGTGGGTGGGGCGGGGAGGGGGAGTTGGGGTTGGGGGTTGGGTTGGGAGGGGGGGGGGGGGGGGGGGGATGATGGGGAACGGGCATACTGGTGGTGTTTGAAGAGAGACATGAAAGGGAAACAGGGAGGATCACGCCTGACCCTCGAGCGACTCGGCGCACTGCGAGGAGCAGCAAGGCTTGCCGGCTGCTGCGATGAACTGAAGGCCGTCAAAGCCAGCAGAGCAGACAGCGCACTTGAAGCATGAGGTGTGGAAGCGGCTGGACATGGCCTCGATAGACTCCTCGGTCGAGAGAATCCGTGCCGAGCACGCTCTGCAGTGGACCTGCGGCAGCCAGTTCTCTACGCACTCCTGGTTGCAGAACACCTTGCCGTCGAGGTGTGAAAAGGTGAGCGAGGGAAGGTCGACGCACACTGCAGGCACTTGAGGCACTCCTCGTGCCACGTCTTGTCCAGCGCGAGGAGGTAGGTGCCCACAAGCGTGCCCGAGCACACGCAGCATGTCTCGCTCCCGGTCGCCTCGCGAACCTCAGCCGATCCCGCCGCTGAAGACCCACCCGGCGCAGGAGCTGACGCCTCAGACTGCGTCGCGTGCTGGCACGCCGGGTGGTACGTCGATCCGTTGACCACCACATACTGCCCGCCGTCCTCGATCGCCCCGCCGCACTCGCCGCACGGCTGTCCAGCATCGACGCATCCCTGGTTGCAGTACGGCGCATCCTCCGCCACAACAAACTTGCCCGCCGGGAACGTCGCGTTGCACCGCTTGCATCGCAGGCACTCATTGTGCCACTTGGCCCCGAGTGCCGTCAGTGATGAGACCGCCAGGGAGATCTGCTTCTTGCACCCGGCACACACGTCGGTAGCACTGTTGGGGGAGCAGGAGTGAGTCACGGCAGATGTACAAAAATATAGTATTTGGCTGCAGCCACACACCGGGTCACTTACTTGCGCGCGTCAATGCAGCTCTGCGAGCAGTACGGGTCGCCTGCGAGCTTGAGAAACTTGTTGTCGGAAAAGCCTGTGTTGCACTGTGTGCATGTGAAGCACTCTTTGTGGAACTTCTGGTTGAGCGCCTCGAGAACAGGCCTGATACCCCCACACCGCACCAACATCCGTGAGTGCTTCCCCCCCTCTCCCCCTTCCCTGAAAAAATTTACACACCAACCCATAGTCACCGGGTCACCTCCCGGCTCATCGAAACCGCCCGCACGATCACGTCACCTGACCAACATCACGCCACAGGGCGCAACAGGCACGGCCCCTCCAGCCCCCTCCAGCCAAACTCCAGCCCCCCCTCCCCCTTCCATGCCCCCACCACCTCTACCACCACCACTGCCACCACCATGTACACCCCCTGCCCAAACTGCTGGTCATGGGCGACTACGTACGCCTCAAAGGGGAAGCCCGAGCCACACTTGAAGCACGTCGACGTTGCTGCTGCCATTCCGAAGAAAAGAGAGAGGAATGCCGTGCTGTTGCCGCTGCCGGTTGCGCACGTGCCGACTGGCGGTGGTACTTTTGGCGCTAAAATTCGGTGTGATGCGAGCGGTTTGGCTCTCGGATCGGGAGCAGATGTGATCCAAAGGGGGATGGGTGAGGTGCGTGTGTGTGCGTACGTGTGCATGTGTGTGGTGAGCATGCGGTGTGCGTGCGTGTGAGAAGGAAAGGTGTTTACCCAAACAGCAAAAGCCATCACTCGGCCACAGCCCGCGTCGACAGCTTCGACGTCGTAGCTGTTAGGGGTGATCGAGATCGGCTTCGCGACTCGGTGTTCCGAGCTGTCCTCAGACTGGATGGCGAGGGCGAGGGCGAGGGTGAGGGCGAGGGTGAGGGCGCGAGCAGTGACCGCGGTGAGCGGTGGGAGAGAGGGCCGACTCTGTTCCGCCGCGACCGGCTCCGGGCCATTGATCGCCGCCGTGGGCGCGCGACAGAGAGGGACGCAGACGCCGACCGCGGCACTCGCGCAAGATTGCGTAGCCGGTCGACCGTCGCCGTCGTCCGCCGCCGCCCGGACCGACTCTTCGGAAAGCCTGCCATCGCTGGCGCCGTCCGGTTGAGCGCATTGGCTAAGGACTGCGGTGGCGACGATCGCCGAGGCGGCACGTCGGAAACCGCTTCTTCCGACAACGTCGAGTCCGAGAGGTCAACTTGCCCGTTGGCAATGAGTATGCCCTCAGACGACTCAAGGCTGTTAAAGGCAGCCTGGATGCGCGAGAAGCCGCGCGTTTTCGCCGGCGATGCGTTCGACCACAGGTCAGAGCCCGAGTCGCCAGCCTCATCCGACGGGTACTGCAGCGTCGGCACCGCATCGTCGGCCGACCGCACCCGCGGTGAGCTTGCAGAGTGCGGCGAGAGCAGGCCTCTACTGCCGGACCGCATCCCTGACCGCCCGGTCGATGTCCGGATCCGCGCCACCGCCGACGCCCTGTATTCCGGCGAGCTGGCGACGGGCGAGAATGACGTCTCGATGTCATCCACCATATCCGACTGGATGTCGATCTCCAAATGCGCGTAAGCCGACGGCGGCGCGCAGACGTCTTTGTCGGGCAACGATGACGATGACGATGACGATGACGATGTCGACGACGAGACCGTTGACGACGAGGCAAGCGACGACGACAACCGCGCGATCGGAGGCGGCAGCTGAGCGCCAACAACGGGCGTCATGCCACGCAGCTGGCCACCACAGCACCGCCCCGCTGACAGCCGAGGAATGACCGCCTCGTACAGCTCGAAGCTGCGGGTTACTATTTCTCCCCGAGCCGATCCGCAAGTGTAGCGTCCAAGATGGGTGAAGTCGAGCTCGGTTCGGGCGCAGCCGGCCACCACATCGGCGTCGACCACAATCTGGCCGCCAACCCCACAGTCGCCCACCGATTGCGCGTCGACCATATCAGGGCCCTCATATGAAAACCGCTGAGTCCGCTCCACAAACTCGCGGCTTGGCTCGGCCATAGAGATGCCCATCCGCACACGCAGCCCGTGCCAGATCGCACCCGGCCCGTTCTGGGAGACCAGCGTCTCATCGTCCAGGATGGCCGCCGGCCACGGTAGCTCCATCAGCCTCTCCTGGATGGTGATGGCGGCACGTACCGCCGAGACCGCGTCGCGGAAGACAACCACAAAAGAGTCGCCCTCGGTCCGCACCTCGTATCCGTTGTGCTGCGCAATGGCACTGCGGAAGGTGGCGTTGTGCATGTCGATGGCGTCCGCCATCGCTTCTGGATACGCCTCCCAGAGCATGGTCGAGCTCTGGACGTCTGAAATGAGGACCGCCAGTCGCCCGTCCGGCGCGTTCTGGTCCGCCATCTTCCCTAGGAGGTACGCCGCGTGAGCTCTACGGCGGCGAATGCGGACGAGGACGAGAAAGGCAAAAGCGAGAGCCACGCAACCGGCGGCCGACGACGACGCAATGGCAATGACCTCGGGATCACGGATGCCGGGCGTTGCCTGGAACGCCTGCTCGCACGTGGCTCCGTTACCACCACACACGCCGCAGCCGTCGATAACCACGCCCGAGTTGGGCACCGCGTCGCATCCAGCGCAGCTCGTCGAGTTTCCATAGCACACGCCACACGCGTCCTCAAGCCGTCCGCCACCAAAGCAAACTCCGCAGCTATCGCGCGCAGCGTTACGACCAAAGCAGACCTGGCAGGCGTCGCGATCGGCGTTACCACCAAAGCACACGCCGCACGAGTCGCGACCTGCATTGCCACCAAAGCACACTCCGCAAGCATCCAGGAAGATGTTCGGCGCGATGCCGGTTGTCCCGCCGGTGCACATGCCACAGCTGTCGATGGACGCGCTGCCGCCACAGACACCGGCGCAGTCGAAGGTGGCATAGGGGCCGAGAGCCGGATTGCATGATTGGATACACGATGTCCCGTTCCCGCCGCACTCTCCGCAGGCGTCAACCACACCGCCAAAGCCATCGCAGCCAATACAGGTCGAGTTGTCGCCGGCACACACGCCGCAGACATCGGCCGTTCCGCTGGAGCAGCCTTCGCAGCGGGCAAAGCAATCCCCACAGGAATCAAGGTGCATAAGCGCCGGCCGACCGGTAGTCCCACCGACGCACACGCCGCATTCGTCGATGATGGCACTCCCGTTGCACACGCCAGCACAGTCAAAGACGACCGTGACTGCTGAGGAGTTGTCACAAGTGGCGAGGCACGAGCCGACAGCCGGGCCGCCGCACACGCCGCAGGCATCAAAGTAGGCGCCGCCAAGCGGGATCGGCACGCCGTCGCACCCGAGACAGCTGCTTCCGTCGCCATCGCACTCACCGCACACATCTGGCACGGCGCCCGAGTTGGGCACACCGTCGCATCCCGCGCAAGTCGCGTTGTCACCGAAGCACACGCCGCATGCGTCGAGAGCCGCGCCGCCGCCAAAGCACACACCGCAGATATCGAGATCGGCATTGCCGCCAAAGCACACGCCGCACGCGTCGCGATCCGAGTTGGCGACATGACCGGACGCCGGGCCCGAGCATACGTTGCAGTCATCGCGGGAGTCCCGTGGATCGCAGGGTGTTGGTGGGGAGGGTGGGGCCGATGGTGGCGGCGGCGATGGATGTGGAGGAGGAGGAGAAGGTGGCGGCGGCGGTGATGGGGGTGATGGCGGTGGCGAAGGGGGTGATGGCGGTGGCGATGGGGGTGGTGGAGGAGGAGAAGGTGGCGGCGGCGATGGGGGTGGGGGTGGAGGAGAGGGTGGCGGTGGCGGAGGCGGCGATGGAGGGGGTGGTGGAGGAGAGGGTGGCGGTGGAGGAGGCGGTGATGGAGGAGGAGAGGGTGGCGGTGGTGGCGGTGGAGGAGGCGGTGATGGAGGAGGAGAGGGTGGCGGTGGAGGAGGCGGAGGAGAGGGTGGCGGTGGAGGAGGCGGCGATGGAGGGGGTGGTGGAGGAGAGGGTGGCGGTGGAGGAGAGGACGGCGGGGGTGGAGACGGCGATGGAGGTGGTGGTGGAGGAGAAGGCGGCGGTGGAGGCAGCGATGGAGGTGGGGGTGGAGACGGCGATGGAGGTGGTGGTGGAGGAGAAGGCGGCGGTGGAGGCAGCGATGGAGGTGGTGATGGGGCGCAGGCACGCATGTCGGCGGTAGTGCAGGCGAGAATCCAGATGCGGTGCACGTCTGCGTTGCTGGTCCCGACAAGACAAACCCTGCGTTGCATCCATACGTAGCCGTGTCGCCGTGGAAGAGCCGGTCGGTGTAGTCGGCGGTGATGGAGACAGTGCCATCGATCGGAGCAGTCGGCACCGGCAAGCATGACGGACAGATGGTCAAGTTCATGACAGGCGCGTCTGTGTTTGAAGAGTAGCTCGTGAGCTTGGCTGGAAGGCCTTGGTTCTTCTTGCTGATGCCATGCAGGATTTCAAAGGCGCCAGAGCATTGGCTCGACGGCAGGCTTCCGCTGTAGCGATAGAACGATGCCGAGTTGGTCAGGCTCAACATGAGCGCGTAGTACTTGCCAGGCTGAAGGGGCAGTCGAGTAGGAAACGAGATGTCGGCCGTTGTGTCGCCTATGGCATACGTCTCGCCCGAGATGAGCGGACCAGAGGCGGAGAAGTCGCCGCCACCAATTTTTAGATCGTATTTGTTGAGTGTGTCCGTCTCCGACTCGTACAATGCGTACGACATACCTCCATGCGGTGCCGAGAGTCGGATAGTTGCGCCACAGAGCGTCGCCATATTTCCTTGATCCGGGCTCATGTAACGAAAGGCAATGCCCACGCCCCATTTCTCGTTCGCACTCGTAAGGCTTCCCTCCAACCCGCCCGAGCAAATCGCCTCTGCCACGCACAATTCACAGCTCAGCAGCGCCACAAAAAGCGCAGCAGCAAGGCCATGCACAATCCCTGGGCGGGATATTGTGCAGCACAACATGGCCTAATTGGCGACTGCGTGTATGTGTGTGTGTGAGTGTGTGTGTATGCAGGGAGATGAGGGGGAGGGGGGTGTGATGAAGATGTGTGTCGTGACCCTCCTGTGGTGGTTCCCGCTGCGGTTGATCTTCGATTCTGCCGCAGCCGCACGCGTGTCACAGTCCTGGCACTTAACTCGACCATAAATTTTTTCATCCCTTACCCACCCCCCACCCCCCACGTACGCTTCACCCACTCGCGCCGCTTGACGGCGACAACCTCTTCACGACTCGACGACGATACGTTGAGCGTTTGCTACTTGACGCTGCGACCGAACAAGAACAGGATAGCTATGGACAGCATGGGCGTAGGAATGCAGGCACTGGAGCAGCAGGTTCAGCTCTTTGGCGAGCTCACCTCGCTGACGGAGCGGTTTTTCAAGCTCTGCGTCAAGAGAGTCGACAGCGGGAGCTTGAGCGATGCCGAGGCGCTCTGCTTGTACAACTGTTTTGCGCGGACGCAGGACACGTTCAACACGGTCGGCGAGTATGTCCAGAGCGAGGCGCAGCGTATGGCCGCAGAGAACCAGTGATTTCCGATGATGATGATGATGATGATGATGATGATGATGATGATGATGATGATGATGATGATGATGATGATGATGATGATGACTATGGTGATCGATCGTGTCCTCGTGGTCGTCCTCTGATCGCACGCGCCTGTGGCCATCAAGCCTGTAGTGGCTATGCTTGCATGCGTTATTCGTCCTGCTCTCTCTCTCTCTCTCAACCGGCCACGGCATGTGCAGATCGCTATCGCTGCTACCCGGCCGCCGTGGCGGCGGCTGGTGTGGTGCAGAGGCGAACAAATGCAGCGGATGGGTTGGTCTGGCCGAGTCACAAGGTCACGATGATGTACTTTACTCCCATGTTAAACGAGTGCGCTCACGCTGCATCGTCGTCGACGTACTTGGTGTACTTGGCTGACGAGCCCTTGGCCTTGGCGGCGGGGTATTTGCGGGCGTTGAGCTCGAGCTTGCGGAGGACAGCATGCGAGAGATCGATGCCTGCCGACGAGGCAAGGCGGATGAGGTACAGCAGGCAGTCGGCCATCTCCTCGCCGACATGAACCCGATCGTTGTCCGAGAACGAGGGCAGTCCGGGGAGCACCTCGCCGCGCCATTGGAAGATCTCGGCAAGCTCGCCGATCTCGCCCACAAGGGCAAGAACAATGTTGCGCGGCGTGTGGAATTGATGCCACTCGCGCTCGGTGCAGAACGCCTCCAGCCGCCGCCGCAGCGTCTCCAGCGCCAGCGGCGAGAACGGGACGTTCGGATACGCACATGCCGCCTCCTCTGCTCCTGCTGCGCCTTGCTCATCGCCATCATCGCCATCATCGCCATCATCGCCATCATCGCCATCATCGCCATCGTCGCCATGTTGCTCATCCCCCTTCATCCGCTCTGCCAGCCATGCGTCTGTCTTGTCGGTCTCCCACCCGAGCGTCTCCGCCGCCAGCCCCACCACAGCGTCGGTGCTCAACCGGCCCGATTCGACGAGGGCCAGCAGCATCTTCTCGCCTGCGGCCTCATCGCTACAGGTAGTGTCAGAGCGAGAAACTTGGTCAGAGGCATTGTCGGACATGTTGCTGGAGATGACCGGTGTTGAGGTAGAGTAGCTGCTGTCGTTCGCCGTGGCGAGGTGCAGACAAGTGGCGAGCCGGTTCCAGCGGTGGGATCACCGCCGCTCGGTGCACGCCGCTCCGGCCAACGAGGCGCACACTGCCTTGGCTGCGCGTCAGACAGCAAGTTGTTTATCAGATCAGTGCGCTGGCAGGAGAGCAAGCATCAAACAAGAATTACCGTGTCGTTCAGCAGTTTGGCCTTCTTGGACGGCGAGGCGCCGGCCGACAGGTCGGCAGAGGTGGGATCTGTGCTGGCGGCGGCGACGGCGGCAGGATCTTGGTCAGCGGCGTCATCGCGCGGACGCTTGGCAGTGGGCGACTTGGCAGTGGGCGCCTCGGCAGTGAGCGCCGACGGTGCTGCCGTGCTCGGCAGCAGCGATGCAAAGTCATCAAAGTCTGAGTCGCTCGACGCGGTGCGCTTTGGTGTAGCGATGGATGCCTGTGTCGTCTTGGCGGGCGTCGGGGTCACCTTCTTGGCGGTCGATTTGACCTTGGGCGCCGTTTTCTTCTTGAGGATCGACTTCTTTGCGGTCGACTTCTTTGTGGCCATCGCCTTCTTGGCTGTCGTCTTCTTCTTTGCGGTCGACTTCTTCTTGGCCGGCACACTGCCGCTCGAGGCCGTCGTGGTGGGGGTGGGGGTGGCGGCGGCAACGGCTTGCGGCGCGGCGGCGCCTTCCATCGGCTGCGGGACAGAGTCGGCGATGGAGATCGAGCCACTAAGCACGTTGTTGAACCACTGCTCGTCGACAACTCTGATGCCACGCGCGGCGGCGGTCTTCATCTTGCAACCGTCCTTGTACTGGTCCGCGGTGCCGACGGGGATGACGAGAAAGTCGACGTTGGCCGTGAGCCGCGAGCGGCTGAAGAAGCCGCCGCCGTTGTTGAGCACGGCAGCCTTCAGAGTCGACTTGCCGACCTGGGCAAAGACCTTGCCGGCGAGGTTGCCGACCTTGTTGCCCCAGACGATGCCATCCGATCCACCGCGCTTGGCCGGCGTCGCCGACGTCGACGCCGACGCTGACGCTGATGCGGTAGCCTTGCTGCCCGAGGGGCCGGCGCCACTTGGGCCAGCCACGTCCATTGGCGTCGGTGTCGCGGCAGTCTTGGAACCGGCCTTGGCCTTGCTCTTGCTCGCCTTGGCCTTGCTCTTGCTCGCCTTGGCCTTGGCCTTTGCTGGCGTCGCCGTGGCCTTGGCCTTGCTCTTGCTCTTGGCCTTGCCCTTGTTCGTCTTAGCCACGCCGGCGGCTGCAGTGGGAGCTACCGGCGCGGTAGGCACCGTCGCCGGCTCTGCAGTGGGCGCAGCTGAGATGGAGCCACCTGCCGGGGTCGGGATCGGGACGGAGAGGTTGGCAGCGACCGGCGGTAGCGCCGAGCCAGCGGGAGCGGCGGGAGTGGCAGCGGGAGCGGGAGCGGGAGCGGCGGACGACTCGGTCTTGGACTTGGAGGCCTTTGCAGCGGCCTTCGAGGCTGCCTTTGCCGCGGCCTTTGTCGCCTTTCCGGCCTTTGCCGCCGCGTACTCTGCGTAGATGAGGCGGAGGAGGGTGTGGTTCATGGTACCTTCCGGGAAGAGGGCAACCACGCCGGCAACCTTTGCAGTTCGCTCGAGGTCGAGCTCCCGCTGGGTATCACGTGTGAAGCGGACCGAGATGAGGCGAAGGCGAATGAACTCGTCGAGGACGCGGAAGAAGAGGTATACCGACTTGAGGACGACCGGAGCGAGCGCAAGCTGCAGCGGCGGCGGCGCATCGTGGGCGGACAGCGGCTCCAGCGCCGCATCGTCTCCCTGCTCACTCTTTCGCAGCAGCTTCGTCACGTCGTCAGAGGCAAACTTGCGGATGAGCGCGGCTTCGGCCGAAGACCATGCGGCCGCAGTCGGCGGGCGTGGTGTCGGCTCGTCGGCCTTCTCGACGTGGCGCTTGATCTTGGCAATGAGCACGTTGAGCTTGTCCTCCAGCGACCCGATCTCATGGACGCGCTGGACACGGAGAATGTGGTGGCGGATGGTGTTGGGCTTGACCTCGAGAAAGGTGGCCAGCAAAGTGGCAACGTCGTGCGAGTCGTCGTTGTGGCTCTCGCCGGTCTGGACGAGCTCGAGCAAGGCGGCGTCGAGCGTCTCGGAGCGGGCAAACTGGTGCCGCTCGTGGCACCCGTTCTCCTTCAGCAGCCGGGCGAGGACGTCAAACTTGGCCGCTGTTTCGGGCGCCAGCGTCAGCACCTTGTCCGGCCCGCGCTCCGGATCCGAGTTGACCTTGGCCAGCATCTCGGTCGCGTCCGACGCCACGATGGCGAGCTGGCCACGGTTGACAAAGAAGCCTTTGTACACGGTTTGCATCGGCGGTGCCTCGGCAATGGCCTGCGAGTCATCGATGAACGGATCCGCGTCGTCGTACTTGTCCGTCGTGTTCCGCAGCACCTTTTTGTGCACCCGTCGCTTGCCGACCTTTCCCAGCACGTCCTCCAGCCCGTCAAAGTCCGAGTCAACCGAGCTCTCGCCATCGTCGTCGTCATCAGTGCTGAGCTCGACCTCCTCAAAGCCATCTTCACCTGGCTTGCGGGCAGAGGCCTTTGCGCCCTTCTTGGGCGACTTGTTGGATGATTTTCCGCTACGGCCAGCATTGACATCATTCCCATCATGATGATAATCATCATCATCCGTGTCCGAGTACAAATTCATCGAACACTCTGAAGAGTATGACTCTGGAGGGTACGAGTCCGAGTAGTCATCATCATCATCATCATCAAAGTCCGAGTCCGAGGCCAAGTCCTTGCGCTGCCTCTTGTGGTCAGCATACATGTACTCAAAGTTGATTTCATTGCCCTTGGTGTACGCAAGGTCCACAGGAAGTCGCTGCATCACTCTTTCACACACACACACACACACACACACAGTCTCTCTCTCTCTTCACACACACACTCTCCTCCGCTTCGACTGTGCTTGTCTCCTTCTCCCCGCTAGCGAGAGTGAGGTGGTATCGGCGACTCGTCGTCCGTCGTCTGCTCGCAGACTGGCTGGCTGGCTGGCTGGCTGGCTGGCTGGCTGGCTGGCTGGCGGAGAAGAGGGGGGGAGATCTTTAGTTGTTGGCTCTGGTGAGGACAGATTCTTCGTTGTCGACTTGGAGGGTGGTGCAGCATGGCTGTTGTGTGGTGATGGTAGGCATCGGATGGCAGAGTGGGAGCAATGGCGTAGAGTCGTGCGGCAGTGGCAAGGGTAGATTCCTGGGGCGGAGGGGTTTGAGGGAGGATGACGACGACAGAGACATAATAGACTCACTAGAATGATAGTAGCTAGCTTTGTAAGACGATGTACAGCATTGTAAGGGATGTGTGAAGTAGCTAATAGGAATCAGAGGGCTTGATGGTTCAGCATCGAGACAAACCCATTTTACGAGCGGCCAAATTGTACGAGTCGGCATTATTTAAGAGCGGCGCCGACGCGACACAAGTCAGAAACGGTTGAAGTCGCTTTCGTTGTCCACCTCGCGCGTACGTGGCCATGAGCAGCCGAACTGGTCATGTGTGCCTATAATGGCCATTTTCTGCCCATTACCTTGCACACCAGCATGTGTTTCCCCCCTACCCCACCTCCATGTCCCCCCCTATGCCCTTGGTACCCCCTGGGAGGAGGTAGTCCTCGGCGTGGGATGGTGATTTTTACGTTTCGCCTCGTCGCGCCTTCGCGGCAAGCCACCACCGGTGCGGCCCAAGGAGGGGCCATAGCCAGGCCACCAATGGTGTGAGGGAGAAGCAGACCAGACATACATATACAAGGATCAATGGCGCATGTATATGTATGGTGGGAGTCATGCTGGGTGCATGCTACCTTCCCACAGGAGCACGTATACCCCCCCCCCTGGGTAGCGCCCTACCCCCCGCCCTCCTCCCCTCCCCCCCCTCTTCAGGTCGCACAAGGTCGCAGTCATGGCTGACGCCAACTCTGTCCCTGCGTCATCCCCATCCCCATCCCCATCCCCATACCCATACCCATGTCCATGCCCATGCCACTCACGCAATCTCCTCCCCTCCCTCCCCCCTCCCCGCCACGACGTCGTCGGCCCTCTTCCCCCCTCCCCCTCCCTCCCCCTCCCCCTCCCCCTCCCCCCTCCCCCTTCGCCTTCCTCTCCGTGTCGCACTATGGCTGGCTGTGCGACTCGGCTGTGTGATTCGGCTGTGCGACTTGGCTGCGACTCGGCTGTGCGACTTGGCTGTGCGATGCTGATGATGTGGTGGCCATGGATGGTGTGATGGCCATGGATGATGTGGTGGTCATGGATGATGTGGTGGCCATGGATGATGTGGTGGCCATGGATGGCTGTCATGCGGTATTCTGATCTGTGGTATGGCGATGACCTGGTGATCTGCCTGTGATCGATCTATATGGTTGATGGGTCATCGATGTATGGTCGGTGGTTGCTCTGGTGGCGCTTGCGAGGACAGATTAGCATGGAGTTTGGTGGTGGTATGTCGCATCAGTCCGGTCCTGCCGCGGCTGCTACTCCGCCTCCTCCTCTCCCTGGTAACGCTGCTGGTGCAGCCGCCGGCGCTGCTGCCGGCGCCGCTGGCGGTGGCATGGGTGAAGTGTTCAACGGTCACGAGATGATGGGTGCGACGACGGCGGCGCCTGCGGCGCACGCCTCGGGCTCCAACTACCCGACGCCGACGGCCGAGCTTGCAAGTGCGGCGTCATTTGAGCCGCCGGCGCTTGCCGCAAGCGCGCCTGCGCCTGCACCGTACGACGCGACGGCGGTGCCTGCGTCGATGCCTGCGTCGATGCCGCCGCCGTCGCAGCCGATGGGTGCGTACGACGGTGAGGCCGAGGCCGAGGCCGAGGCTGCAGCACAGGCTGCGGTCCAGGCTGCAATGTCGTCGGCGACATCGGGCGGGATGGATGCCGTGGCGCCGGACGCGCTCGTTGCGGGTGCCCCTGCGGTCGGTGAGAAGCGGTCGGCCGACGACATGGCCGGCAGCGACGGCGGCGACGACGACGGCGAGGCGTACAAGCGGCAGCGGACGCTGGCGTCGTCGACGGGCTCGACTATTAACCCGGCGGACATTATGAACCAGCAGGCTGCTGCTGCTGCTGCTGCTGCGGCGGCGGCTGCGGCGGTTCCGGGCGGTAATGCACAGGCGTACACTGCGCCTGTGCAGACGTCTTCGTACGCGTCGTACACGGCAGCGCCGCTGCTCCGCGATATGCGGTACCGGCTCTTTCTCACGCAGTCTGAGGCTGCGCGGGTGACCAAGCGGCTCCGCAAGGGCTACGTCCTCGTCCCGCTCACCTCGTCGGGAACCGAGTACCACGAGGAGGCGATGACCGGGCGCGACAAGGGTCGGCGGCGGCGCAAGCAGACCGACTACAAGGCGATGATGTCGACAAAGATCATTGACGACGACGAGGACGACGACTCGGCAGCACGCGGCGGCATGCCGTCGAGCGGAGCGTCGGAGAGCCAGGCCAAGGCGTCGCGGTCGTCGGCAACGCGCAAAAAGTCCAAGAAGAAGGCCAAGCAGGTCGATTACTCGGACTTTGACAACGTGGTTCGCGACGTCAAGCGTATCATCAGGAAGTCCCTGTTGACCAAGAACGAGGCGCTGTGGTTTAAGGACCCGGTCGACCCAGTCCGTCTCGGCATTCCGCAGTACTTTGAGATCATCAAGCAGCCGATGGACCTGGGCACGGTGTTGGAGAACCTTTCGGCGGGCGTGTACTCGACGGTGGAGGAGATCGGCGACGACGTGGCGCTCATTTGGTCCAACGCGGCGCGGTTCAACGGCGAAGAGGCTGTTGTGACCCAGAGCGCGCGAGTGCTGGAGAAGGCGTGGCTGAGGGAGTACGAGCGGATCTGCCGCAAGGTCAACAAGGCGCGCAAGCAGTCTGAGCGCGCGGCCAAGGCCGCAGCACGTGAGCAGGCGCGGTTGGACAAGCAGGCAGCCAAGGCACAGCGCGAGCTTGAGAAGCAGCGCAAGCGCGAGGAGAAGCGGCAGCGGCAGGAGGCGGCGCGGGCGGTGGCCGATGGCCGTGTCCCGCCGCCGATCTTGCCGTCGGTCCCGCCGCCGCCGCCGGCTGCGCCGCAGCTTCCGCCAGCATACTCGCCGCTGCAAGGCGGCGGGATTGATCCGTCGGCGCTTGGCGGCCTTGGCCCGATCCTTCAGCAGACCGAGGCTATGAAGCAGCAGATGCAGGCGCTTGGCATGTCGACCGGCGGGCTGGCCTCTTCGGTTGTCCGCGAGGCCGCGCCGCCGGGCATGTCGTCGGCCGAGCTCGAGAAGATGCTCGAGCGCAAGATGGAGAAGCGGATGGCTGAGAAGTTCTCCGAGTTTGAGGCCATGGTCAACTCGATCAAGAGCTTGGCGGCCAACATGATGACGACGCAGTCGCAGATGATGCAGCCGAGCATGATGGGTGGAATGGGCATGGGCATGGGCATGGCCACGCCGCCGCACATGATGGCACACTCCGCGGCAGGCAAGGGCTCGAGCTCCAAGGGCAAGTCGTCGTCGTCCAAGCGCCGGCGCAAGAAGAAGTCGAGTCGCTCCAAGCGCCCACCGGCGCCGCAGTACGACTCGGACTCGTCGGACGACTCGGTGTACATGCACGACCACGTCCGCTACAAGCCGATGGACTACAACGAGAAGAAGCGGCTGACGACCAACATCAACCGCCTCCCGTCGTCCAAGCTTGTCCGCGTCATCGAGATCATCAAGGAGTCGATGCCGCTCGAGAACCAGGACGAGGAGATCGAGATCGACATCGACGCCCTCGACAACAAGACGCTCCGCAAGCTCGAGGCGTACGTCAACGAGTGCCTCGCCAAGCGCAAGAAGAAGAAGAAGAGCAAGAAGGAGCAGCCGCCGCCGCAGCCGTCGGCCGTCACCACGCCGTCGACGCCGTCGACAGTCAACACCCTCGGCGTGGCCCCGCCACCGCCGGCCACGCCCGCAACCCCGGCCACGCCCGCCGCCTTCCCGCCACCGCCGGCCTCGTCGCTCTACACCCCGTCGGCGCTCGGGTCGTCGGACATGGTCTCTTTCGGCATGGCGACCACCGCGCCCATGGCGCAGGCGCCGACGCCGCTGGCGGCTGCCGCGCCGCTCGCTGACCTCGCCCCGACGCCGGCACCCGCCACCGACACCGACACCGCCGCGCCGCCGCCGCTCTCGCTCAACGAGCAGAGCTGGTCCTCGCTCGCCAACGACGAACCAGCGCCGTCGCAGCAGACCGGCGACGCCGCCGCCCCCTCGGCGGCCTGGTCCGAGCTCCAGGCCCAGACCCAGGAGCAGAAGCAGCTCGCCGAGCAGGCCAAGGCCGAGCAGGAGCGGCTCGTCCGCGAACGCGCCGCCGCCGAGCAGGCCGCCGCTGCTGCTGCTGCCGCCGCCGAGCAGGCTCGTATCGATGCCCTCCGTGAGGAGGAGCGCAAGCGCCGGGAGGCCGCCGCCCAGCAGGGCGCCGTCGACCTCTCCTTCCAGCGCGACGCCATGCGCGACTTTGAGGCCGCAGGCGTCGCCGGCGGCTCTAACTTTGGCAACAAGCACGAGCTCCTCGCGCTCCACCAGGAGCAGCAGCAGCAGAACCATCCGTAAACTGTGTGTCTTGTGGCTCACCCATTTTGACAGCGAGTGGTGGCAGAGCCTGCCACTCGCGGCTGCAGCGCTGCTTGTGGGCGTTGTGGGAGTCCCGGTGTGTGGGTTTGTATTTTGTGGCGATGCGTCGGCCGTACTACATCCCGCTGTACAACGAGGTGGACATCCAACTGGGGGCATGCCTGCTGGCCATCCTGCTCGTCGGGTCGTCATCGTACTCGGAGCGGTCATCACAGAGCAAGGGCATCGAGGCGTTCCTGGTGGTGGCGACGGTGTCAGCAATTGTGGTCCTGATTGTAGTGGCGATCCGGGCGGTCACGGTCGACATCCTCATCATCCGGCGCGAGCGCGAGGACATGTACCTGACTGCCGAGAAGCGGCAGCAACAGGTTGCGGGCCTCATCACCGACGAGCTGCAGGACATCGAGGCTGATGCCAACCTGTTGCTCGCCGCAGGGGAGTTCCTCGAGATACTTGAGGACACAGTGCAAGCGCGCGCGACCGGCCCGCGACGCCAGGCCGGGCGGCGCAACTCGGTGGCGCTTCTGCCGATGCTCGGCAGTGTCGAGATAGACACGCTCAATACCGATGACGAGTGCACTGCGGACACTGGTGTCGGGCAAGGCATGGTGTTGGACAAATGCGACAGCAAAGGGTGTTTGTCACGCCCATGATTCCGTTGGACGGCGCCGACATGGGCGTGTCATCGTCGTCGTCGTCGTCATCGTCGTCGTCGTCGCTGTCGGGTGAGGTTGAGTTCTCGTGAACACGGCCGGTGATGTCAGACAGCAGAGTAAAGCGGAGAGAGCAAGATGGCGACTACGGAGTCCAACGTGGTACTCGGGCGGGCTGCTTGGAGCGTTTGGAGCGGCGCCTGGAGCGGTGCTTAGAGGTCGATCGGGTCGGTTGGTGCCTTGAGGGCTTGGTCGGCGAGAGGTTGGTGACGACGGCACCGGCAGTGATACGGACATCTCGCTCGCGATGGCGACGGTATGCCGACGCGAGGTCAGCGGTGGGCGGAAGGGCGTCGCAGGGGTCGGGTCTATCAGCGGCGACGCGAGCGCGGATGCTGGCGATGCGAGAGGATGCAGCACATGCGTCTGCGGCGCGAATAGCCGCAGCGATGGCAGCGGGGCCGCTGCCTGGGGATAGTACGGCGAGGGCATCCTTGCCGCGCGTGCGCTCAAAGGCGGACCGCTGCTGGGCACCTTCAATGTCGCGGGCGACGCGAGCAAGGCGGACGCGAGTCTTGATCTCGCGAGCACGGTGGAGGGCGGCAGCCTCGCGGGCGGCCTTATCGCGGGCGCGGCGGGAGCGGGCGGAGCGGGCGGAGCAAGCGACGGCTTTGTTGCGTGCGCGAGCGGCGGACTCGGCCTCGGCGACGGCGCGTTTGCTCGCAGCGCGTGATGCCTCGTTCTGAGCGGCGCGGAGGGCGAGAGCCCTCTTCTTCCATCGCGCCATCTTTGCAGCAACCATCTTGCGCTCGGCTATGTCGACGCGGACGGCGGCGGCGAGCGAGGCCGAGGCGAGCGAGGACGAGCGCGAGGAGGCGAGGCCCGAGGCACGCGAAGAGGCGCGGATGGCGGCGATGGAGGCGTGGCGGGCAGCGGCCTCTGATGCGGCGTGCGCGGCGCGGCGGAGCTCGAGCGCGTCCGAAGCACGGCGCTCGCGATCGGCGACGGCAGCTTGCGCGACCAGGGCGTCCGAGGCTGAGGCTGCAGCGCGCCATCGCGAGGTAAAGGTGGAGCGGATGGAGAGGCGCGGCTTTGCGTCCGAGTGGGTACTGGCGGTGACGATCGAGTCCGAGGTGGCCGAGCGCGGGCGGACTGGAGCGGGGAGCTCAGGCGGATCGACGACGTCTGCCGATGACGTCGACGAGAGATCAAACAGATTGTCGTCAGTGATATGAGTGGGGATGAGTATCACGTCCGTCTCGCTCTCTTTTGCCACTGGTCCGTGGCCGTCTGTTGACTCTGCTAGCCCGACCTCGTTCCCCATCACGTGCAAGGTGTGCGACGCGGCGTGTTCCTGAGGTAGTTAAGCGATAAGTGTCGAGTGCTTGGGAAGCCTGATCCGTCTTGTAGCGCCTGATGTGTCAGCCTGAAGTGTCAGATGCTGCCGCGATCTGTCCGTTGCGTCTGCCGCGATCAGTGCGTCTGCCTCAATCAGTCCGTTGCGTCTGCCTCGATCAGTCCGTTGTGTCTGCCGCGATCAGTCCGTTGCGTCTGCCTCAATCAGTCCGTTGCGTCTGCCTCAATCAGTGCGTCTGCCTCAATCAGTCCGTTGCCTCTGCCTCGATCAGTCCGTTGTGTTTGCTTCGATCAGCGCGTCTGCCTGAAGTGCAAGAGGCTGCCTCGATCAGTGCGTCTGCCTCAATCAGTGCGTCTGCCTCAATCAGTCCGTTGCGTCTGCCTCACTCAGTCCGCCTGTCGTTGCTGAGGGTGCGGTGATGCGCTGGAGTGTAGAGGCCTTCTCCTTCCTCGTCTCCACGCTATGCACGAGTAAAACACGTGGGAGTGCACGTGTGGTTGCTCTCAGTACTTGGAGTCGTGTGTGGTGTGTGTGTGGTGGTGGTGGTGGTGGTGGTGGTGCGGTCGGCCGTCCGGCACTCCTCTCGTGGCTTCCGCTGCTGATGGTCCACCGTGGCAGCTTGGCAAGCGCATCGGATGGGCGGAGACAGGCAAGGCTATTGTGTATGCAAGGGGCCGGGGGGGGGGGGGGGGGGGTCGG